TGCACACAAGGGGCTCGTCTGATTATTTGCAGCTAATCGATATAAGATTCTCAGCCAACTTATTCCTAAAAGACAGCTGGACAGCTTGGCCACCCACCACCCTTTGCGTAAAGACAGGCCTCCAGGCCAGTTTTAAACGCACTTTCCCCAGAGTGTCCACTTGCGTCCTCGGAGTCTACGGCTCTGAAGCCAAGCAACAGACAGCAGGGCCTCGTCCCCAAGGACAAGAAGGAACCTGTGCCTGTTCGAAGAAGAAACTTCCTTTCTTTCCTGCGCTTCACTGAGCCTCCGATTACTTGTTTCCTCGAATCTCCCGTGAGCACCTGTTCCCGCTTCCCTCGGCAGGAAGACTCCGGGGATCTGGGTGTCCGTCTGTGTGTGGTGGAGCAGCTCCGGCGCCGTTCCCGCTGACCGCCACCAGCGTACCCCTGCTCCCCGCTGGAGTCCCGCGGGATGCGGAGAGCCAGGCGGAAAGGGCGCAGCGGCGACTGTGCAGTCAGGATGCTGGTCACCCCCGCGCTGAGTCAGGCGCTGCAGAGGCCAGCCTGACGCACAGCGCCGGACACACTGGCCGAGCGGCTCCGGGGCGGACGCTACTGAGGGATGCGTCACCCCCGGAGCTGGCGCTGGGACAGCCTGGCTGACGTGCCACAGCCCTGCTGGGGGGGCGACGCTTTCGGAAGAGAAGCCAGACTGGAACTGCGGCATTTTCCAGCTCATGAACACTTCCAGTCATAATGCCTCCCAGCATTTCTGCACTTCCAGTAAGCTCCCGACTTGAAAACCTCAGTCCACCACGCTGTGTTCATGCCAGGATTTCAAAACCCACATAATGAGTCCTGAAACACTGCCTCACTCCCCTCTCGCAACTTATTTTTCACATCCTAATGCTGAGACACCAGTGCTGTTACTCACATCCTCTTGTTGACTCGTTGTTTTTTTTTTATAAAAAAAGATCATAGCTCCTCTGGCCAACACCGCAGGGACAGAGGAACAGAGCAATACAGGAAGAGCATACACAGGGAGACGAGAAATACTGAGAAAACAATTAAACCCACAAGAAACGGGAACGATCCCAGAGAAACGGACACACACTCCCAAGCGCACCGTGGTTCGACCCTTTCCAGGCTTTGCAGGTTGCATGGATCTTGGATCAGCTGACATGCACAAACACCTCAGTAATACTAAACACCGCAGCTGCTGCTGAAGAACACTTATTTTGAAAAACAATGCAGGCCCTGATAAGGAGATGGCCTCGAGCAACATGGGAGCTCTGCCCCACACGTCACAGAGTGCAGCGCAATGGAAAAACTTGTCTGCAATCTGCCACATCTCCCCCTGTCAGCAGCGCGATCTGACACATCTCCCTCTGCGTTCAGCACTGTAAGGCATTCGGGGGGGGCGGGGCGCCTTGAGAGACAGAAGTGGCTTATTTCTGCCGCGAAGCAGCTCTGCATTCTGTTGTTGTCAGAAAGCAAATGCTCAGCAAGGCTGGGCCTGGTCAGTCCTGGGACGGGAGACCTCCAGCTAAAAGCAGTGGTGCTGGAGGACCAGTAGGTGGCGCTCTGCCCACTCGGACTACAATTTCTAAACCCAATGGTCTAGAATGGGGATATCGTGATGTAGGAGGCGCTGTCCATTGGAAGAGGCGATAAACGGAGCTCCTGAATATCTGATCATTAAAGATCCTATGACTTCTTGTAACCGTGTTAGACTCAGTTAATTCCACTCTGGGCTTTTACAATCCAGCCAGCCTAGTAGGAAACTGATGAGGCTGTCCCTCTTTTCTCCATCGTGGAGGGCTGCCGGCGCAGAAGGGGGCGGCGCACACCTGTGTGCTGGAGGAACGGGGTCTCCTCCTACACGTAAAGTATTCTGGGATCCTTCGGGGCGAAAAGTGTTGTATAATTCCTTCCTCTCACACCTCCACACCTGCTTGAAGTCTGGGCTGTAATCTGGCACCAGTCAGAAGCGGTATACGGTATGGTATAGTGAACTGTACGCAACTGGACAAAAGCAGATCAGCAGGTGCACGCACACAATCACACAACAAGGACTGATGCACCTCCATCAGTGGTGTCATAACTCACAAAGGAAACAAGGCTGCACAGTGCTCTGAAGGTCAGTGGCAAAGCTCCTCTTGCTCCAGGCAGAAGCTTGTGGGCCCTGCACCCAATGCCCTAACCCCTGAGACAGCACCGGGCGACGAAGCAGACACCAGCACAGCAGGATGCGACCGGCACACACCGCCCGTAACACCGCTCGACTGCCCCGTGTGCGTGGGGAGAACATCACGCCGAAGGATCGCTGCCTTTTCCACAGCTCAGCGCTCTGATTTGCACTTCCTCCTGCGAATTCAGGACGGCGCCGACAGGCCGCTGGCTGCAGTTCACACACCGGTTGCAAGCTGGGCTCTGGAGAACCACATGAATCACACCCCTGCCGTACGGAGGTCCCCGCGCCGTCCCCACAAGCACCTCACCACACGGATGTGTCAGCGCGCACGCACAAACACGCTGGGGTCTGCACTCACTGCAGCCCCTGGCTTCACAGCCCCCATTCACCATTCATCTTTAAAAAGAACTGCTCCCCCCCACGGAGACAGCCCATCTCCCCTAAAGAAGACTAGAGCTCTTCAGCCATGAAAACCTACCCCCCCTCACCACCACCACAGTCACAGAGGTGGTGTCAGGCCTCCAAAGTGCAGGGATCTCTACTCCAAAGGGGGCGGTGCTGAGGAGGTGTGGACTCAAGGAGTGACTCAGTTCCAGGGAAGGCGTGAGCGTCACAGCTCTGAGAGGGACGCACAGCGAGCAGACCTGATGCAATTCCACCAGATCAGACCAGGATTTCTATGGCGCTTTTGGATCAGGTCCATGTTGTGACTAATCGTTGACTTTGTCGGTTCCGTCTACGAACTGAACACCAGCAGACCAGCTGTCTCGCCCCCGCCGGGACACATTCCTCTGCTGTAACGTCTGCCTACACCCCAGCACGTCATTACAGCCGGGCTCCCAGGGCAACGGGCCCGACTGAGAGACGTGGCGCGAGTCAGGCCCGGTTTGTCACTCCGCTCCGCGGTGCTGGACACCTCCGCCCTGAGGGAAGCGTGAAAGCTCAGCACAGTTTGCCCCAGAAACTCATCACGATCCCCTCCCAAAGCAAAACACGCACGTACGCCCTCCTCGCAGGACATCTCTGAGCAACAGCTTTGCTTTGACAGGCTGCACAGCTAAAATTAAAGACGGAAGAACTCGTCCCTTGTCGTAGCAGCATGCAGACCACACCCCCCCCCCAGCGCAGGGGCTCAGACATAGCCCCCCCTCGCACTTCTGAGGCAACTAGGAATTCACGCAGAAAGAGAAAATAATCTGCGCTGTCTCAGCACTTGCTCGGGACCGGTCCTTATAAACCAGACAGGATGTTTTGAAACCCCAGGGGTCACTTCCTGGCACAGGGACGAAGCGACTGCCAGCAGCCTCCTGCGGGCACGTCGCCGAGAGGTGGGCACACCTGCTGCGTGCCTGCACCACCTGTCCGAAACGCACGCTTTCCTCCTCCACTACAGTGAGAGTTTACATTCAGCTTGTGTGCACGCACCTACCTTGAAATCTAGGCTGCAGTCTAGGCTGTTCCAGCTCCAATTTAAGCAAGAAATCTAGGACACATGAGTGCTTCGCGAGCAAAATAAAGCCTAGGCTCTTAAAGGAACCAGGATCAGGCCGAGTCAGGACCTCTGGGGCAGAATTAGTTGTGTGCTGGACAAGAACAAGCCTTGTGGAACTGAAGCCTGGCTGTACAGAGGCCTGGGGGTCACTGGCCGTCCACCTTGCTGGCCTCTCGGACAGTCACAGCCATACCCGGGCCCACACTTCCACTGCTGACACCTGGGAGACACCCCCCGGCCCCAGGTGTACCAGGAACAGACAGGAAATCTTCCACCCCCCCCCTGCAGACGCACTCTCAGACCATGACAATGTCCTCTCCTGCTGTACTGTCTTCTCCGTTGGGGGTGTTTGCCTGCCTGCTGTGTTGTTTCCCTGCAGGAGATGATCAAGCGCGTCCTCGTGAAAAGCGCTTTGTTGTTAAGTGCCTAGCTGGTCACGTCCACCCCCCCCCGACAACATCCTGGACTGATTCTAGAATCACTCCCACCCCTCCCACTACACTGTTGACCCCGGGACACAACCACGGGGCAGAACCACGGGGCAGATACGCCAACTCTGAAAGAGGAACAAATGGCTTCCCGACTAAAATGTGGACTGAAGTGCTTCTGTGTTCATCAGTCCCAGTGAAGATGGACAGGACAGTCAGCTGCTTCTCCGGGTGAGTCTGTTCCCAGTTGTGCTCAGCTTCGCTCCAGAGCAAGCCCTGGTCCGTGACTCCCCGCCCCGCTGAAGCAGAGCCGCCACCAGACCAGGACGGGCGCGTGGCATTCGCAAGAGCCAACTGCAAACAGTCGATTGTGCAGTTCCCCAGGACAGTTGACATCTGGGGCGATAGTCCAGTGACAGTGCGGAACGGGGAAAAGCGGGATTTTTCCCGGAACTGTTCCTCCCGGTTGCTGCCCTTGTGAATTTCTAGGGGGGAGTGAAACGCAAACTTTCAGGCCAGCGACTCCATGGGTGGCCGGGGTTCGGGTTCGAGAGCAGCAGCAGGCCCTGAAGCCTGCACCCCTGGCAGGGCTCTTTGACTGACTCCCTTGCACGCTCCACTGGTCTCTGCGACGGATACGGACGGTACAGGCGATTTGTACCCGTAGCGCTCATGCTCCTGGAAAACGCTGTGCGCCAAAATGTAGAGCACATTTGTTTTCACCACAGATGGGATGCACCAAAGGACTCTGGACTTGTCCCTCTGAGTGAGTCTCGGTGACTACACGATTTCACAGAGGCTCCTCCCACCACAGATCAGTTCAGATCCCAGAAGAGGCTCGGGGCCGTTCTGTCCTCAGTGACAGTCTCCACTCTAGGTCTGGCAAAGATTCGGGCAACCACTCAGTGACGAATCACTTCCCATCTCACGAGAAGGACAGAGCGCCGTGAGACCTCCGACGTCCGTGGCACAGCCTGGATCTGAACCAAGAAGCTCTGGGCAAGCAGCACAACCTATCACTGTGCAACGGATTCCTCATCGC